AATATGAACACAATAAGTACATTGTACTTCATTTTTGATGTAAGTGCAGAGTAGTTAAGGCCACTTAATATAAAGTGGGGCCCATATTTGTGTTCTCTTTCTTCAGCTCTGAGCAGACGGTAACAGTAACGGGTCTCCGGCCGAACACGCGTTATGAGTTTGCAGTGCGTCTTCATATGGATCAGATGTCCAGTCCCTGGAGCGCCAGCGTCTATCAGAGGACTCTACTGGAAGGTACCGGCCCACTGAGATACTATTATAGTTTTTATTCAAATTCCGATTACATTTTTATTTCAAGTATTAATCTGTCTGTTTTTTGTTTTTGACCTTTTTATTAGTTTAGTTTTTTTTTATATAATTGTATTATTCAGTTTGAGTTATTTTAATACATCAAGTTAAACTACATGAAACGTTTTTTAGCATTTAATTTTTATTTCAGTTTATTTTATGTCAAGTAAAGTAGAGGCTTTTTTTAATGGTTTTAACTATAATGTTCCTGGTCCAGACTAGTATTGTTTCTCCACCAAATTAGTTGTTTACATATTGTAAAGACTTAAAGTTTTAGTCATTTTGCTGCGTGTTTTGTCATTTTTATTAGTGTTTATATCTTTTTTATTGATTTTTATGTTATTTTAGTGCAGAAAAATAAGAAATGGTGGCAACAAGTTGAAATAAAATAAGTTTTTATATTTTATTTTATTTCAGTTAACATTTATTTTGTTCAAAGTAACATCATATGAATTCACAGTTTTAGTTATTTTAGTATAAAGTATCAAGTTAAACTAAATGGAATTAGGAAATGTTGCCTTGGCAACTATTTCAGTTCAAGTTTATTTTATTTCAAGGAAAGCATATGTTTTTGATGGTTTTAGTTTTACTTCACTCTAATAACCGTAGTCCAGACTGGCAGATTTATTTGTTGATGTAAGTTTGTGACGCGAGGGAAGACTGTGAGCGTAACCTGCTGTGAGATTGAGCCCTTGATGTTATTCCCGGCAGCCCCGTCGTCTCCGCCGCGCTCCGTGCGAGTGAGTCTGATCGAGGACGACACGGCGCTGGTGTCCTGGAAGCAGCCGGATCAGCCGGACCTGTCCGTCACGCACTACACCGTCCTGTACGCCTCGCAGAGCTCGTGGCTCGCTGGAGAGTGGCAGGTTCTTCAGAGAGAAGGTGAGCCAGGGTTGCCATGGAATTTCTGGAATATCATGGAATTTTAAAAGGTCTATTCCAGACATTTGAAAGTCAGGGAATTTTATATTTTTTCATCCAAGTCATGGAATATCAGGGATAGGGTTGGGTATCGTTTGGGTTTTTTACGATACCGGTGCCAA